CTCCAATATGCAATTTATAAAGAAGTCGATCGGGACCAAAGTTGGCTGTCTGGGCGTTCTAACAAAGACAAGGCTCTATGAAGCAGTCTTTTATGTTAAAACGGTTTTAATAAATGTACAATGTAAAAACGTCTGCATGTAGGAAATACTGCCGGATTCTATATTTAGTATCAACACCAATGCGCAGCTCTGTGTTCTGTGAATGGGACAAATGATCACATGAGGTGTTTGAGTCTGTGACGTGTTCACAAAAAGATATACAATACCATATCATAAACTATGGAATTGCCGTTTTTCTTCTGTAAGTTAATGTTAAGTCTCTGGTGCTATTAACCTAAGTACACCTATGTAATCTGTCTAAATAACAATTTGTAATTACGGATTATATATTTACACTCAAACGGAGTATTGTAGAAATATGTCGTCTTTTTATCATCCGCTGTACTGTGAAATAGATTAAGGACGGGGCCCTTTGCAAGCAAACTATGATCTGAAGCAACACATACTTTGTGTTTTATCGTTATAATATTACCTTTAACATTGTACTAAAGAGAAATGTTAGCATATTGTCATGATAGATGTTTTGATGATGATGATGATGATGATGATGATGGTGATATTGCTTGTATTATTTGAAATTCGTTTAGTGTAACGACGTAACTAACGTTTACTTTTCTAATAATGCCAGACATCCACACTTTATGAAAATAAGCTAATGCCGCGCACCTACTACTACAAAACTTGTAAAAGATCAGGCCATAGGTCAATCAGACTAACAATTTTGGTAAATGTTACATTGGACATATTTTAATTTACACATCAAATTGAATGATACAATGTAGCATATCACTATATAGGTCACCAAAGGTCAAATCGATCATCAATATCGATGTATATGGCTAAACCTGTCAAAGTGGTAGCATTTAGGATCACAGATATTCTAGTCACGTGACACCAGGGTCCATGTATAAAGCTGAACTTTAAGGTAGGCGTGTATATTTGCGTAGAAACAGTAAACATGTATTTGTCCATGCATGCTGATTAGTCCCAACGGAGCTTCGCCGACTCTCTGTCTGCAACGATTGCGTTTCTATATTTCGTGCCTACAATCTTGGGCTAACATAAGCCACTCTAAAGCGCTTTACAGTACATACATGTAGATATACAATTAATACAATTAGCATATACATTAATCAATACAATTTTGAGGAATTTGCAGGAGCTGCCTTATCAGGCGCTAACTACTAGTCCTATGCCACCTGGCTAATATCTCCCTATGTGTGTATGCCTGTGTGTGTGCTGGAGATTCATTCACAGTAGCTATTAAATTACACTCTGCCACAGAGGCTACACCCAAAAGACAGTAGCTGTTCTACATATTCTGTAAGGTTACCTTGACACAAATCCTTTGACAGTCCAGTGACAGCCTTCACAGTGAGTTGAGGCTGTGAGGTCTCTGATCCTGACCCTCCCTGCTATACCCACTCCAACCACCACCACTCCATACGGGTTACATTATGATCCATCCGCCATTTTATATTTTTTACTTGGAAAGTATCACCTGTTAAATATTCATCAATAAACACAGAATCTTGAAGGATTTTCATTTGCTATTAGAAAGTCAAATACCCTGGCCAAGTTCAAGAGGGACATTAAAACTCACCTCTTAACGTCTGCATTTTAGGCTATTTGCAAAGACGCCATGTAAATACCTCACGTTATATATTCATTTATGTGCATATTGCGATGATTATTAGCTTGCCTATAATGTTTAAAAGTGATTGTAAGCCTTTGTTTTTGTTTCACAATTATAACTAATACTATTATCCATATGTTGTAAAGCGCTTTAGAGTAATTTTACAAATTATATAGGGCTTTATATAAATGGACACTTATTGATAAATTCATGGGGAGATAATCAAGACTTGTATAATCATATTTTAGATTTCCAAGCTGGATTTCATAGTTGAGTGTCATATTTCAGCATAAATCTGTCACTTAATGTTCAGAAAACATGAAATATACAACATTTGATATAGCGCCCTATCTAGCTTACAAAAGCCACTCTAAAGAGCTTTACATTACATAGATATATAATTTATACAATTAAGATATACAACTGTACAAATTTTGAGGAATTTGCAGAAGCTGCCTTATCAGGCACTAACTACCAGTCATATACCACCTGGCTAATTTCTCCCTATGTGTGTATGCCTGTGTGTGTGCTGGAGATGTAGTGTGTTCTGTTTGTAGTGAGACTGTGCTTCCAACGGCATCTTTTATAGTGCCACCTTACTTGAATGCTACAGCACAGATACCACAACATCCACTCCAGGCCATTTTATACTCCACCAGGGTTGTTCGAGTTGTGTGGGCAGGAGAAAAGCACTTTCTCTGATATTCCTTGAGTGCGACAACTTCGAGGATCGAACCCCGGCCACCTGCGTAGAAGGCCGAAGCGTTAACCACTTGACCAATCCACCCATAATGTACATATTTACGTATGTATGGAGGTACGGTAGTCTAATGATGGGACACAGGGCTCTTGACCAAAGATTTGCAGGTTCAAGTCAATTGTCGCGTCACTGTGTTGTATCTTGGAACAAGATACTTTAGCTTCCAGTCTACTCAGCTGTAAATGAGTATGTGGTTGACCGAATGGGCAGTGCTGGAATTGTTGAATGCTTATAATCTGTGAACCTCTTTGAGACTAGACATACGACTTAGGTTGTAATAAAGTGGTATATTAGAACCTCAAATTATTCTCAATTTATTATTATTATCATTATACATTTGTATCTACAAATGACAATGATGAATAGGTTTTGATCTGCTGTTGGGATTCCATATAAATTCAGCTCGAAAAGGAATGGTACCCTCAGGTAATTCACCTGCTACTTTAATTTCATGAAATAAAAACACTGAAATTAACTGCCTTCTTTGCGTTTGTTACATTCAACCTGAAATCATATAGAACAAATGATTCTGTACTCTTTTCTTAGGAAGACAATTCAAGGTGTCACATACTGAATTCTGTTCTTGTGTTCTATACAGAGTTATCGCCCTTTATAACTTACTATTTCACTTATAATCACCATTATTAACTCATCTTCCCATGAAGACACATTTGAACTCTTCCAATTCAAAGTCTAAACATTGTTGAGATTCAATAAAAAAAAAAATGACTTACACGTAAAATGTATAGTGTACGTGGTTGTTTATTATTAAAAGTCTCATTTTAATCAGCTAATTTCGTATTTGATTATAGTTATTAGGTTGAGGTCTGTCATACTGGCCTGAGGTTGATAATTAACACTACATTATACATTTTTATATATAGTGATACAGTGACTTTGGTTTTGTTTGTGTTTTACGTCCTAATAGCTAGGTTCATTTAAGGATGTGCTATGTTTCAGTGGAGGAGGAAAGCCGGAGTTCCCGGAGAAAAAACACCGACCAACGCGGCCAGTACCTAACAATTACCCCACGTGTAGGCCTCGAACCCGCGACCCAGTGGTGGAAGGCTAAGCTAGTGGTGGCAGTAGATTGTCAGACCACTGTGCCACCGTCGGCCCCTTTCAGTACACAACATTCAAATTTTACAATGTATAGATTCCAAGACTACTGTGAAGTACTCCAACAGTGTTAGAGGTTTACATAGCGAGATACTTTTAACAGGCGCTCGCGATCGCGGTCGGCAAAATCATATCCGATAGATATAAGGCCGATCAGCGGCCTCTTATGTTACTAACTTATAGGGCTAGCTATATACGTCTCTAGATCTCTTGTTACCACATTTCCTCACTCATGTGTTAAACAAATAAATGATGACAGTTCTAGTTGTTAGTACACAAATAATAAAAAGGTGGACTGAGGACCGCATTTACCTATTATATATTCCCTGTCCCTGCTGAGGAACTTATTTAAACTACGCACATATGCATGAACACGTGCATCCTATATAGAATGTAAACATCAAAACAAGGACGATAACTCTGCTGGTGTTCCCAGATGCATTGTGTGGTAGCACTACACCAATTATCTGGCAAAACGATTTATTCTTGACAGACACCCAAATAATCTTACTCAGTATCTAAACTGTATAAAGAAAGATTCACGCGGAGAAAAGATGCAATAGATTGGATGAGTAACAAGTAATATTAGCACTACAGAACTTTTAACCGACATTTTCTGGATGTTCCAGAAGGGAAGTACGTGTCTTTTGCTTCATCGACGACACCCGCTATTTAAATCTTTGTCAAATCCATGTAATGTCACGTCCTTATACCGAAAAACCGGGAAAATGACAACGAATTATCAACACACACTAATGGGCATAATAAAATGCATCGACCTTAATTCATATCACACAATCAAACAGCTACCACATTTCTCAATGGGAATTTGATTGAGACCACTGAACCTGTCTATGATATCTATAAAATTGCATATTTGGAAACCATGGGTTGCAAATTTGTCTGTCAGAAGTCGATAACTGAAATCGTGATATTCGGAGCAATCTCTTGAATGTCGAATCAACTGCGACTTATAAACACCGTAGGTTGGGGAAGTAAGGACGTTACTATTACGAAAGGGAATATTAACGACCGAGAAATCGAAATAGACATACTTATCGTACAGGTTTGTTTGAAAATGTTGCAAGTAAATATCGACAAAAACGAATATCTTCACTTTCACATTATGAAACATTATGGAAACTTTACTTGACAATGTCTCTAGTGCTGGATGTATTTGAATTACTTCTTCTTGCTGAATGTGACTTGTTTCTAGCTAAGAACTACCTTATTAAAATAATCAGGCGTGATGGATAGGGGAAGAAATATCTCAACATGACGGCTAGTGAATCACAAATTCAATATTTTGCCTATGCAACACGGATAATATTGTACACCCAAACGTATTTTATATATTTTTGGTATGCTTAATTCGATTTTCTCACAGTATGCGTATACTAAAATAGAATGAGATACACACTGTTATCTTCACATATGAAAACAGATTTTATTTTATCTTCAAATATAATATATATTATATAGTCATATGTCACGCTACCTTGATAAACCATTGTTATAGAGTCCCAACATCATCTATCGACATCGGATTGTAACAATTCGATGCTTTAAAGCGTAAATGAGTTTCAATATATCCTGCAAGTTTTTAAAATAAGGAAAATACGTTTTAATCAGGCACTTGAAATTTTATATTAAAAACAAGGAATAAAGAAATCAACAACAAATTAATTTTAAAACTTTTAACGAGGATATGTATTCAAAATGTAGTTAAAGGATATTAGCTCATTAGGTTTTAACTCTCATCTTTATTTCATATATCAAAGCTGAGATGAAGGCTACAAATTATACAATTAGTTCATATAGGAAATTAAATTCTTTCTTGTTACACATTTCTGTCACTGAAAAAAATCTTAATAAAAGTTTTTATCGTCAATTTTAATGGTTGGAGAACATCTACTTTGGAAAATTCAAAAATATGAAATTAAATTTCAACGTACACCAAATGTACATGTGAAGAAACTGCAAATTTCAATATCAATTTCTTTTTTTTAACAGCAAAATGTTTTTGATTCTTTTTGGCTTCAAATATACGGATACGCTGACCTATGTTTTTATAACAGTTTTGGAGATAATTATCCTGTGTATCCATTAAGACAAACTAGAAAGAAAGTCGGATATTTTGAAAAATAATTAGCGTTTTAAAGTTTAATTTACAACAGTAATGAATCAAATTGTTACCTACATAATTCCCCTTACTGGCCGGAACAGATGCGTATTTAGGATGTATTTTAGTAGAAACTGAATCAAGTACCCGGCACACGTGGTCAAGCGGGTATCATCACATTTCTATTTCCAATTCGAAATTCAAAAATTATGTCAATCATAAACTGCATATAAGTGAAAAAGGAAACGAGAGTACAAATGCATAAATGTGATGGAACGCGTTGTAAATAATTAGCAAGTTTTAGGATTGCTATAAAAAAATTATAACAGGAACTCCAGGATTTCTTATGTATTTTTGGAAGACTTCTTAACCGTTGCCACATACAATGTTCTAGATTTCAAACGTTTGTACGAATCGTTGTTTCAAAATGATGTTGATGTAAATTTCTGTCAAAATATCAATTTTCTTTTTGGCTGATCGGTCTCTTGACGTTCAAAGTCTCCCTGGAGTGCTTTCAAATAAGCTAAATCATGTTCAGAATACCGATATATTTCACTTGCACTGAAGATTTAACCATCGTTGAAAAATCAGTTCCACGACTGAAACCCAAGCAGCAACCCGACACAGTCGTCAACTCGGGAAAAATGTGATCACAATCAGTTATGATGGCGGATGACTAATACCAGGTTGATTGTTGTGGTTACTGTTTGGATCTGGACTGTCACCCCCTGAAAAATAACCGCATTATAATCATATCATATTTATACTCACTTCCCCCCCCCCCCTTTCCCAACTCACCCATCCCCACAAAAACCTTTACAGACAAGGTAACATTGTGCAAGTAAAAGACGGGCATTTAATTTTAATTGTGTAAGATGAATACTTGAATATTAAAATACTTATCTATTGATTGAATATCATGTGAATATTTGATTGTATATGCTTATGTTTTATTCATAAACACTACTAGGATTTAAAAGACTAAAAGACACACCCATGGATTCGTATCCTACCTGCCTGATCTGATTCCAAAAGAACATATCACAGATGACATTTAACCAGAAATATATAAGAACGATTCTTACCTTCTATTTTGCCGGAGGATCGCATCGTTCCATCAACGTGAGCGGACAAGATCTGCATCTGGTAAATCGAAAAAAAACCATGTTTAGAGTGTGTATCGGTATGAAAGAGTAATATGAAAAGGCAAAGCCTTAAAAGAGCGTAGCTTTTGTTGATCTCTGATATTTACTGATTAAGAATACAACTTTCAGAATGATATAAGATACACTTTATTTAAAGTCGGCTAGTCGAGGAATAACAATAAAACACAAGCTCTAATGAGATTAAGGCAATAGGATTGTGTCGCCATTTCTCAGTAGAATTTCTTCAAATTTTGTAGTTATAATGCTTGGAAGTAAAGAAAATTTTCTGCCACAAAAAAATAAAGGTTGTCAGTATTTTGAGGATTTTAAATGGAAATTTATGTAAAAAGCAGTGAATTTTGAAAAAAAAAAGAAACACACAATGTTTTGCAAAAAAATGTCAATAAAAATGATACTGACATAGATTAGTATTGCATTAATGTATATCAATTTCATAAATGCTGAAATTGTGTATAATTACTTATCTATAAACGATTAAAAATTGACATTTTATAATAAAACCATATACACATAGTAATTGCATGGAAGAGTTATCGTTCTTGAAAAACTTCACAGTAGTGAAATAGGTAGCCGGTTTCCTGAAGTACAGAACAATGGACACATGTGACTCATTGATTAAAAAACAACTGAATTAATGCCTGGATTGCTTTGAAATACTTTAATATTGAAAGAACACACTGTTCTGTCAATAATAAACATACAATATTCATCAGTTTAATATTAAACATTAGAATATGCGGAAATTGTGATACTGTCTCCCTACATTGGGTTTTCAACTAGGGATGTACTTCCCATTTCCGTTTGTCAATACACTCCTATGACCTTAAGACCGACATAACAATAGGGAGACCGGGGCAAGTTCGGCCCCTTTTTTGTTTATAAAAGTCCGTTTTAGGAAGTATGGCAGCACGTCCGTTTTTGAACATTATTTAACTATCCTGTCGGAAGATGGGGTTAGTTCGGAGAGGCATTCGAGTAAGTTCGGCCCCAATTGGAATCAGCTTAAATGACGTCATAAAGCATGCAACGTCAGATTTTACCGCCAAAGATTTACGACTTTTTATGTGTTACATGGGCCGAACTGCCACGGTATCATTGGCCGAAACTGTCCGGGCTCAAATTGATATTTCAATAAATTCTTATCGTACAGCAATATGGTAGTGAGTGATAGGCTTGGCTTTTATGTATTATCATTTGAAGATGTCAGTGTCTTACACGTTTGACTGTAAAAAAGTAGCAATTCCGTTTCAAAAGGTTCGCATAACTAGAAGCGAGATCATGATTTTCTTTCTACTCTCTCAAAAGTAATTTTCTCCTGTTAAGTCATTTTGCATTAGAGTTTTCCTCGCCATTTTTTCGTCGTTGAATACCCAGCCAACTTAACTGCTAAGATCCTTAAACTTGTAAATATTAGCTCAAAAACAAAAAATATCAGGGATGGCCGAACTTGCCCCGGTCTCCCGTATGTAGATTTTTTTTATATCATTGATGATTGGTAAAAATGTATTCACAATATATTTTTTGCATCAATGACCCCATTTTCTTCCAGTCAAAGCTAAAGTAGATATTTGTTCTTGTTCGTAACGTATATGATGTGTCGCTGGCGCAGTGGATAGCGCGCTCGTCTTCACCAAGCTTAAATATGGCCGGATTCAATCCCGGTCACCTGCCCGACCACGCGGGTTTTCTCCGGATACTCCAGCTTCCTCCCATATTAAGAATCAAACCCCCTGCGTGATTCCGTCAGGGCACAAACAGAATGATTCAGATAAGTTGGGGGAAAACTGTTTGGTAATTACTATAGAAAAAGGTGCATATTACATATTCGTAAATGTATAGAGATGTTAGTTAAAAAAATGAAATTAAAAGAAAACATTGTAATACTTTGATGTAACTGAAATTGTCTTGATATGGACATGCAGTGGCGGATCCAGAGGGATATTTGGGCTTCAGGAACCCCCCC